TTTTGAGTATTTAAAAATCAGATTTTAGCATTTTAGTGCAGAGGGAATCGATACCCCCTTGAAGGGGAACCGATTCCCCCCCACAAGGGAATCGATACCCCCTGAGGGTTCTGGTTTTATCGGGCAGAACCCTTATTTTTGCTCAAACTCTCTCTTCTTCTTCTCTTCGTCATTCTCCTCTTCTCTCTCCCCAAATCATCACTTTGATTCAAAAACAACGTTTCTTATCGGAATTACTTCAAATATCATCTCCTAAACCTATTGGAATCATCAAATTAGTGCAAAAATCATCACATTCTCACAAAATCCGAAAATCTTCAAGGTATTTTTCTAAAACTTATATTTTATCAAATTTTGAACATATAACTAGTTTTAATTAGTTCTAGATTGAAATAGTGATAGGGCATTGATTGTTTAGTGATTAGAAACTAGATTTTACAACTAATTTCATCAAAAACACAAGAATTTTCCAAAATTCTTTGAAATTTTTTAAATAAAAAAATGTTTTTCATATTATTGTGTTTTGATTGAATTATGTTGTTGTTATGAAAACTATACATATATTGATTTTCAAAACCTTATTTTTCTATAAATTTTTCAAAAACTTTGCCCATTAGGATTGGTTTAGAGAACCTTGAAATATTGAGGACTCAATTGAGTTTTGGGATTGATTACATTGCGTACATGTGTTTTATAATTGCAGGTTATTCATTCTATTTCGATTTTCTTAAACCATGTCAAATCCTAAGCGTGCTAGGTATTCATCTAGTCGTTCAAACCAACAACCAAATCCACCTCCAAATCCTCCTCCTATTCCTGAAATTCCTATTCCTAATCCCGTTGATCCTAATATGACTATCCAAAACTCGTGCTTCAATCATCCTGGTCCTAGAAATCATCGTTTTTGATATTATCAGTATTTTGACTCTTACAAAATTAGAGAAGAACGTATTCCATCTCTTCAAGCTATGATAGATATCAATTTTAGATATCTTCCTCTTTTACAAGAGTGGAAATTTGATAAACTTTATGATCTTGAACCTATAGTTTACCATCAACTTGTTCGCATCTTCTATTCTATTGTCGTTTGTATTAAAAACCGAGCTCAAACCAAAACCATAGGAGTTCATTCCTATCTCTTAGGATAATTCTTCCATCTTGACTCGGCTTACATAGCCAATAAATTAGGATTAGATAATGATGGTATATCAAATGAAAAATAGTTTTTAGGTTCTAGTTATAAAAGAAGGGATAGTGTTAGTGTCTTAGATCTTCATGATCGCTTTATTCATCTAATGATTTCTTGGTGGTTTCGACCATCCGGAGGTCGTTACTCAACTCTTAGAGCCTTGGATCTTTGGTGGTTACATTGTTTCCAAAACAATATTAAAATAAACCTACCTCATATTATTTTTACTGAAATTGTTGAAACCGTAAATCTTGTTCCTAATAAGAAACTCTGTTCATCTCTAGTTTACGGTTGCATTATAAGTAATCTATTTTCTAAAGTCGGGCTTAGAGTTGGTCTAGATGTCGTCTTTCCTCTAAAAAACAAATTAATCTTCTTTCCTTAATGAGAGCGGGATGGATAAAGAATAAATAAACCGGTGAATAGGTTCGATCTTCTGAGAATACACCGGGAGCTAGTTCTTCACAAGCTCCACCAGAAGCTGACGATGATTTCGAGCTTGAACAATTAATGCAAGATATTGACGAAGCCGACGATGAGCCGGAGCAGTACGAGGAACAAGCTCAGCAAGAAGATCAAGTGCCTCCATACTTTCGATCCTTTATGGAGACATTCGATTTCCGATATGCTTCCATGGATTATCGCTTCACTTCCATAGAATCTCATTTATCCACAATGGGAGCTCAACAATTGGAAATTCTCCGGGAGATGCGCACAAACAACACTTCTATGAATGAACGCATTGATGCACTCTCACATGAGATGGCCGCTATGCAAGCTTATTTTCCTTCTCCCGATCCTCCTACGGATGCTTGATTCTATGTTATGCTTTAGTACTTTGAACTTAAAGCTTATTGTTTTAACATTTTGAATATTTTTGGATTGTTTGTACTTTGGATGTTTGAACTTATATTTCTATATATTTGGTTTGGTTAAATTTATTCATTATTGCATCATTTACATCAATAGCTAATATGACCAATTTTGCCATGTCACATTGTTTATGAATATTGATTATGAAACTAATGGCTAACGTTTCTCTTGATTGTGATCTTAGTAGCTTAAGATATATATATATATATATATATATATATATATATATATATATATATATATATAATCAATTGGCTAAATGATTTCAGAACCTTGTTTAAAATCTTTTACGAGTCTTTTTGATTTAACAAAAAGGGGGAGAAATGTTAAAAGCGTTTTAAAGAGGAGTAGTGTTAGAGTAAGGGGGAGTAATTTCAAAACTTGATTTCAAAATCTTAAAATTACCATAATGTTTTGTTATATCAAAAATGGGGAGATTGTTGAATACATTTTGATATTTCGAATATAACAAATTAAGATAAATGAATTTTAAGATTTTCCTAAAGATTTTCTAAGTATATTCAATATAATTATTCGAATATCAAAATATTACTCCAAATATTTCAAAAGTCATTTTTAATCCTTACTCAAGTGTAAAATTAAGTTTTAATCTTAAAATAATTTCAAAATAATTTTACAAAGTATTTCTAACCATTTCAATAAAATAATTTCGAAATAATTTTACAAAGTATTTCGAACCATTTCAAAACCAAACAAATTCCAGTATGTCCAGAGGGAACCGATTCCCCCTGAATGGTTTGGCTCCGAGAAATTCCAGTATGCTCGGAGGGAACCGATTCCCCCCAAGGGGGTATCGATTCCACCTGATCAACGGTCGAAATATTTGAATTTTACACTTAGGGAACCGATTCCCCATGAGGGGGTACCGATTCCCCCCACGCTCCAAGCAAAAATATTAATTATTTTCACACTTAAACGACTCCAATAACTTCATTAATGATCTCTAACATTCAGAAGTGATTCAAGGTGTATTTAAGCAAGCTTAGAGGCCATTGATCAATAACAAGAAACATCAAGCAACTAGAATCAAGAGAGAATCAAAGAGAAAGCATCAAACCTCAAGTTTGAGCATTTCAAGCCTATTTTTCATTCAATATTCATTTTGCTTTCAAGAACACTTATTGTGCTCAATTATATTTATTCTTGAGTGTTCTTTCTTTGTTCTAGAATTGTGCAAACATCTTACCTTGTGAGGTTTTTCTTGTAAGTTTGCGAAATTTGTAATCTTCTCTTTGAGAAAGAGTGTTCTCAAGAATTGGGGTATAATTATTGAGGGAGTTGTAAGGTTATCTCTTTGGCCTCAAAAGAAATAACAAATTAGTGAATTTGTTGGAAAATCCTTAGTGTGAATAGCTAAGGTAGTGGATGTAGACTTTGGTTGATAAAGACGAACCACTGTAAATCGTTTTGCAATTACTTTCAATTTTCTGCAAAAGCTTCTACCAAAATTTTTATTGCCAATTCACCCCCTCTTGGCCGATTTCATCGATTGATTAACTCAACAAGTATCCATACTTTATACACGTGTACCCTTCAATTATTTATTATTATTATTACAAGTTGTAGCCCTTAATTATCGGGATTTTTAGTTGCCCTTTGTTGCATTGCCCGTATACCACCCAGATCATACGTCCGAACCATTTCTGCGCTTTAATTGTTTGAGAACCAAATGCATCACCGTTGAGATTTTAAATATGCATATGCTTCTACATCAAATATGTTTCACTATGACGGTTTCGGTTTAGGGTTAACCTATCTCAATTAGCTGACTGAAATGGATAATATGCGAAAGACATTCTTCGGATATCCAATCTTCCTGCTTGTTACTCAAAATTATGATGGTCGGGATTTTCCTCGCGTTTCATGTTGAAAAAAAAACAATGGAAATTAGGAATAATCAATGATAACATGCAAATTGTCTAAGTTAATAAGTATTGAAAAAGGTTATTATTACCTTAGAAATGAAATTTGATGTTACCTACCGATGCATCCATTGAGTAAGTTGTTGTTTGGATGGAACAAAGGCTCCGGCTCATATTTATAGTGGAGCCGAAATTTATATTGAAATTCAAACTCAAATTGAAATTTAAATTCAAACTCCAATTAAAAATGAAATGAACATGAAATGCAGTGTAATATTGAACATGAAAATTGCATAATTGATTCATATTGTTCAAGTAACATGCGTTATGAACCATCAAGCCGGTAAAAGACAATATTGATTCAGATCAAAGCTGAGTTGTGAGTTGATGGGGTTGTCACACTTGTCACATGGGAATAAAGTACTCACATGGAAAATAGGAAGAGAAGAGGAGATAAATAGATTGTTATCTTTTCACAGCCCATCCAAATGGAATATTTACTGTGTAAGTCACATGTTATACTATGGAATATTAAATTACACAGTTATTGTGTTATATATGTTTTAGTATATTTAAATTGAAAATAGTGTATTATGTGAATCGAATAAAAATATACACACAATATAAATAAACCAAACATGCATACACAACAATTTTATACATAACAATGTTCAAATAATCTACCCACAAAGAAATTAATCTGACGAAAAAGGGTTATTTCTAACGAAGTCCGGAACATTAGGCGCCTTCCACAAATTTTCCAAATACTCTCGTATGTTACCACCTTTTTCTGATGATATATATAAATAATTTCAATTATCAAACTAATCAGATGCAATTTTACTAACAAGAAACTAAATTCGTATAAGCAGGAATAAATTTGTGTCATACCTAAAACAATTATTACCAAACATAAATCGGGTCCAAATCCAGCCCGACCCGGTCAGGAACACCCTCATTCATTCTTCCCTTTTTATAATTGCATTAGTCCACATCAATGAGTTCTTAAACATTGATTCATGTTAGAGATATTGAATAAATAAAAAACAGAAAATGGCTGCCCATAATGTTAGCTTTGGAAAAAAGGTTCCATATACATCCTGGTAAGTAAACGATTACATTAAACTAGTCCTGGTAAGCAAGCAACTGACTCCGACCTCAACGGCACAATGCAGTGTGAAAGCCATCTATTATTTTTGGTCCTCAACGGTGCATATTGAATCTCAGTGGATGGCTACGACCATCCAACCTCATCCGCCATGAACCCCACAAGGTTGTTTGGGAGAGCCATCGTCTCAAGAAGCGAGCAAACTTGAACTCTGGCAGAGATGTTGCCTTCTCTTCTTCATCATAATAATATTCATGTTCGACCTTGTTGTAGTTATGATTATTCACAAGGTTCTGTTGTCTCACTTCATCATAACTAGATCTTTGTGACAAGCTATGCGCAGAGCACCATAAAACATTGATTAATTGAAAAAGAAGATAAAACATGCATGCCTCAACATCATCAACATCTAATACCACTGAAGATTACTGAAAAAACAAAGGTTTTATCGGATTTGAGTACCATTTGCAGGGAACAGTGTGCTGTTTTATACGTCTTTTAATAGGTGATTGGTTGACGGACATGTGTTTGACAAATTCAAGCTGTTTGCACCAGAAAACACACATCAGATAATTGCAGCTAGAACTCATAAAAGCAACAAAGAAACGATAAAAAGCAGCTATTTCAATTCTTTGATCAAGATTACTAAATTGTAAATACTGCTGTCACTGTCAAGTATGAAAAGCAAAACCTGATCACCATCTTTGATCCCATAATTTCTAATGCAAGCCTTATTGTTAACCAGATTCTGACCTTCATAAACCAAGCAAAAGTGCCCCCAAACATGTGACCTGACAAAACAACAATAAACTTCATCTACATTCTAAAATTTATAAACCAAATTTAATATCCAAACTCAAAATAATCAAAACCAACAAAACAAGATTACGTTTAATCAATCAAAAGAATAGCAATCACTCGTAAGTTATAATGTAAAAGTCCATGAATTAGTTTTAATGAGTTAATACCATGAAATACAGCATTGAGTTTCCCCTGGCGGTTCTGCAAAAAGTTCCTCTATTGCTACCTTAAGCTCTGCAACTTTAGCATTCCTTTCCACATTTACATCTGCATAATCCATATGCCTCATTCAAGAGTAATAACCAAGAAAACTATAATAAGGTAATTCAATTTTTATTTCATAAACTAAGTCACATTTAGTATTTTTTGGTTTATTAAAAACTTAAAAGCACTTTTCTAATTTTTTATATTGTTTTACTACAAGATTATCCAGGATTGATTACTCCGTTTGCTTTAAAAAGATAGAAAAAAAGTTATATTTCCTCTCCTTTTGTTTTTATTAACTTTTTTAGATGCAAAAAAAAAAAAAAAAGACTGAGAAAAATGAAGATAGATACAAGACAATATTTATAAACAAAGGTGGATCATGTCAAGGGATGAACTGAGAGGTGCTGCAGTTACACCTTTATAAAATTTAAATTCTCTTATATTTTAAGTTTCTTCTTTGTATTTTTTTATTAATTATCTAATTTCATTAGAAAATTTAAATTTCTTTATTTTTTATATTTTTTATTAATTATTTAATTTAGTATTCCTAAAATTTTATAATGTATCCCTATAAATTTAATATAACCTTTTAAGTTTATGAAAAAATTTAATATAACCTTTTTAGTTCGTATTCTACGTAAATTCCTGCGAGTCGTCCGGGATCATGTTTTCTTTTCATCTCCCTTTTAAGTTTTATTTTCTCCTTTGTTTCATTATTTTAAAAAAAATGATACAAATACAAATAAGAACTAAGCGTGACTTAACAGAAACAAATAAGTCAGAAGAAAAAGAAAGGTTGAATGAGGAATGAGGAATGAGGAATGAGGAATGAGAAATGAGAAATTAAGAATCGACGGAGTTTTACCAAAAATGGAACCGTCGAGCTTTAGAATGGAGAGATTGAGAAGATTCTGATCAGGAAGCTTTCGATACAACAACTGCCGTTCGACGAGAGCATCGTCTTCGTAGCCGCCGTTGGCGCCACCGCTTCTGATTCTGCTAAATTTCAGGGAACTTAAACGCCCCCTCTCCAGCACATTCAAAACCCGCGTGTTATAGCTACGATTACTGACATGATTCTCCTCATATATTTCCATATGCAAACCCAAACTCCACAATTTTACCCCTTAGGATTTTATTTTTCCTTATTTTTTCTTTTATATGAATCTCAACGAAGACGGAAATGGAAGCGGTAGAGGAAGGCGGAGAGTTTGTTTCTGATATTTATTTTTGGTTTGCCGAAAATACGTTCTTTGAGAAATGACCGTTAAACGGCAGATTTTTATTTATTGGTTGTAAATTTTGGAAACTTTATAACTCAACCCTGCACCTAGGAGTCTGGCGCTCACTCGCGTTTTATGGGAACAGAGACGAGCGCGTGTTTAACACGTAAGTAGTTTTCTAAAATATATATTTTCAGAGATAATTGCACATGATGTCTCTAAACTATGACCCCTATTTCAAACTGATCCATAAATTTTAAAAACTTTTAGATCAGTCCACAACAGATGCTATATCATAGTGGATTATTTCAATGTTGTAGTTTATGCATCAATAATCTAAAATTGTAAGCTAATTGCCTCATTATTTACACATTATTCACCTAAATCTAGTTCATATATACCCATGGAACACTTGGAACAATTTTTTTCAGTACTGTGCCCAAAATATTAGTAGAGGCCTGAACTTTTTGTATGGATACTTGATTGTACGAACATACCAACTGTAAGTTGTAACAAAGAAAAATGAGAGTTGTAAATATATGAGAAAAAAACCCTTTTGATTTTAGCCCCTAAAAACTTATCTTGGTGTTAAATTTATTTATTTTCCAGCAGCAGTTTATAGAGAAGAGATGAATTTGAAATTTTGTTACTCAATGGTTAGTTTTCACATCTAACAAGCAGCGGGTTGTCTGAAATCTGAGATTGTAAATAACAAACAAGCTATGAACCAAAATGTTTGGTTTATATGAAAACAGGAATACAAGAACAGAAAAGTTCGCCCACAGACATTTATCCCATAGCACTCGTAAAAACATGATCTATGATGCTGGTATCGGTGATCCTAATAATGGACTGCCATTGACACCTTTTATGAGTAGAAAATAAGAAAGCAATATGTATATATATATATATATCAAAGATACAAAAGCTTGACATCTAATTCTTCAAATTTGTCCATGGCGTTAGCAATCTTGAGGGCTTTTGTGTCCGGTCTCTTCTTTTACCGGTTCATGCTACTTTTCCTTGATTATTTCTGAGCTCTCTTCGATGCCCGACGACTCATCATTACAAACAGCAAACTGTGGGTATTTGAACACTTCATTATTTTCTAGTTCACTTAATTTCTGTTGGGACTCTCCTTTGAGCAGCTCAACAACTTCAAGCATGGTAGGTCTTTTCTCAGGCCGATTATCAGCACAAACAAGTGCAACAAGGACAAGCCTTTTCAACTCCTCTTCCACATACTTACCATTCAGCTTTGGATCCGCCACTTCACTTAACTTCCCCTCAGAAACTAGTGGGAGAGCCCATTCTGCAATCGGGCGTTTCAAAAAAGCACTCACCTTCTCTAGCGGTCTCTTACCACTGACAAGCTCAAGCAAAAGAACTCCAAAACTGTATACATCACAACTCTCTGAAGCTTTTCCTAACAAAGCGTATTCAGGGGCAAGGTAGCCAACAGTACCCTTAACTCGAGTAGTCACATGTGTTGCACCGTCTGGGATGAACTTCGCAAATCCAAAATCCGCAACCTGAGGCTGGAAATCTGAATCTAACAAGTAACAACACATTACTAGCTTTGATGTCTCGATGAATTACGTGTGGGGTTGAGTGATGGTGAAGATAGCTGAAGTGATCAGGTGAAAGACATTGAGCTTAGCATTTTCGTTGGAACAAATTACAATAGAAAAGAAATTTGGGACCAACACTTACGCAATTCCATCAGCAGAGCCAATTGCAATATTCATCCTTCTGGTCCAATCAAGAAGACATTCTGCCGAATGGTGTCCATGAAGATGTGAAAGCAAACTCCTGTTAGGCATGTAGTTGTATACAATCAGACGTTCTTGCCCTTCGGCACAATACCCTCGCAAGCTCAGTAGATTCTTGTGTCTAACCCTTGCCAATGTCTCAACCTCAACTGCAAACTGCACTTCTGCTTTATTGTTCCACACCTTCAACCTCTTAACTGCTATCTGCAAGTGTATAACTTTCAAAACGAGAACAAGGTTGAAAGAAAAATAAAGCAATAGAAAAATGTCCAGAAGGTTCTTTTGATTGCAACTGAAGTAAACATGGAACTCCAGAAGTATCATCTGAGAGGCTAATTACAAATGCCTACATGCATTGTTTAGAGAAAGAAAGGTGATATTAAGCAACGTGATTTCACATCATTTTGATTCGGATTTGTTGAGACTTTTTTAAGTCAGCCCTTTTCACCTATTGCTGAACAGTTTTATGTTGGAAGTTTTAACACATCTGACCTTAGACCAATCCCATGATAAGAAACTTCAGCGTCATTAAATCAACAAAGTGGAACCTTTACCCCCTTGTTACATGTGATTCATGTAGAAACCGGCCAGGAACACTAACAGTAGCTCGGTCCAAGAATATGCTTGGAAAGTAGAACAATTTTCTCAAATAGTACACTAGATTCAAATTAAAGTAACCTAAGGTTTTCGCAAATCAACAACAGGACCTATTAACTCATATTCCACAAGAAGATCAATCATGCCAAGGAAAGTGAATCATAATTGGATTCAAGTATGTATTAACCAACAAATGCAAAACAATTCATACCTGCGATCCATCCCGTAGCTGACCCCAATAGACACTGCCAAACCCCCCTTCTCCAAGCTTGTTATCATAATTAAAGTTATTGGTAGCTGAATGCAATTCTTCCAACGAAAAAATCCTCCATGCCGGCTGCTGCTTTTCCTTCTTCCTGTTGAATCATACAACTTTAGACGTTAGAATCCAATTGACGCTTTGCTTACAAGGTGAAAATCAGCACAATCCTTGTGAATCTGACTCCAGAATATGAATTTCCTTTACTCAAATCAAGTTCCAAAAGGAAAGAAAGTTCACAACTTATAATTACCTCTTTCTTCCTTTCTTGGAAACCTAGCATGACAGTAGGGGAGGTAGGCAAAAAGAAACAAAAGTTCAATGATGAACTCATAGCAAAACCAGAATCCACTAAAAGAAAGTCCCTATAAAACTTTTCCTAACGAAAGAAGCTTTGTAAACCAAAGAAAACAGTGGTAACTCATAGCAAACCAATGATGAACTCACCGATCGACGCTCTTCCTGCAACAAATCATAGAGAAAAACGCCATTACAAATCCAAACTAAAAGCCCAACACCTTTTCTTTTCTCTGTCTCAACGGAAACCAATTCCTTGCGGTTTGAAGGACATTGTTTTATTATTTATCTGTACTCTGTACTTGAACTGCTCAATTTCAGCTTCAGCTTCTAAGCAACAGATTCTTAAAGGATACCAAACGTAACGCCTGCGTGGTTCTGCAATCTCGGTATTAAAGAAAGAAAGAAGAAATGAAAAACTGTTAATGCAATGTTTGCTGGAGTTTGGCTATTATTTCTTGGGTGAACTACATATTTAAGTCATATAATTATAACTATCCTCATCAATTATTATTTTTTATAAAATTATAATTAAAGATTTAAAGATAATGTCATATTATTATTAACAAATTAAAAAGTTATTACGTTGATAATTTCATTTATTTTCTAATAATATATGATTCAACGTAATATTAAATATAATTTATTTTAAAATAATTTAATAATTAAAAGTGTAGTTTACTTTTTTTCTGTTTTTGTTTGCTAAATGTTTATGGCATTAGTTGCCTGCTGATTAGGCCGGTTCCTAATTGAGTCTAGCTGTTTCCAATTCAGAAATCCATCCCGCTTCCATATCCCATGGGCCATGGGTTGGATACACTTTAGGATAAATTTCACCATTTGTCACTAAATTAATTATTATATAAAACGATTAATTACCAATACTCTACTACTAAATTAAGACAATATAAAAATAATAATGATGGAACAGCAGAAGATAAAGTTTTTTAAACAGCATTTATTAATCACATGTAAATTAGGATGGAGGGATCGAGCGAGGTTCAGCCAGTTGGCCTCTGGGTGCTTGTCTCTTTATATCAATGCAACTAACTATGAAAATGAACTAAACATACATGTAGGTTGATAGAAGATTTGTTCAATTTTTGAAATATGAGATCTTTACTGGTCATGAGTAGGTAAAACAATATGATCGAATATCGTTTTAAAAGATAAAGAGATAACATGACGGATGTTATTTTTATCCAGCATGTATTCGGTGGCATGCCACTATCCACGACAAACGTTGGGATTAGGGATGTAAAATCGGGTAATCGTTCAAGTTTCAGTCGGATCCTGTCAGGTCGGGTAAAATCGGATACATGTTAAGTCAGGTAAATTTGACACCAGATCCAGTTCGGTTTCAGGTCATGTCAAATCAGTTCGGGTTATTTTCAGGTTGATTTGACACCAGATCCAGATCGGTTTCAGCTTAGGTCATTTTCATTTCGGATCGATGTCAGTTCAGGTCTGAAGCAGATAAAGACCATGTTAATTCAGGTTCGGGTGGACTTCAGTCGGATCTCTTTCAGATCGGGTCACATCATTGACAGATAAAATTCAAGTCGGATGTTTACCGGATACGGATTGAGTTCACGTCGGGTCATTTTTATTTTTGGATTAATTATTTTGTCATCTTTCGTGATTGTTGAATTGCAAGTTGTAATTGTATATGATTTCGAGTAAATTAAGAGAAATATAAATATCCATGGATCGATTTTGTAAAAATATAAATTTAAGGATAAAATTGAAGAAATGTAAAATTACAAATAAAATTTTAAAATATAAATTAAACAACACACATAGGTAAGGGACTAAATTAAAATAAATTTAAAATGTGAGGTTTAAATTAATATAAAAAATGACTAAATTAAACACATTTAAAAAGTTATGGGCCACTTACAAAAATATAAATAACAACTAATAATGTGCCAAATGAAGATGCAAATATA